AATTTCGATATTGCGAGAACGGACAAGATTAGCGGCGCGCACCGGAATCTGGATGAGAGACAGAGGTACAAACACGCCTGATTAGTAGGGAGAAGCCGGATCACTAATGTGATAAATGTCCATACAAGCAGACTCGTAACAATGAATTCAAAAAGTGTTGCACAAAACCCGACGATCTCAATATCTGAAGGCAATAAGCGACTAGATACAATGTTAATGATTTAAGCCTAACTGAGCAATACGAGATGAGATGGGATAAAACAATGGGGAAATTCAGGTTGAACCTCCGCCTTTCGGGCGGAAAATGAAAGATAGATAAGCCAGTAAACTAGCAAAAGACAAGCAACAATGACATTCACCTTGTCTGTAATATCAACGGAGTAACGCAGACGATGACCAAGTTTGACGGCCTGTCCGGCGTGAAAAATGGGCTCTGGAAGGGGAACTTGACGACGAGCGACGCGAAGTTGCAGGCAACGGGGCAAGCACTCGGTAGCCAGCAGGCGAATGTTGGATGATCCCTGCGAGTTAGTTGGAACACAGAGACCCTGGGTCGCCCAGCCAAAACGCAGAATGACCCGGTATCGGTCGCCACTGTATAGAGTTCAATGATAGTGACGATAAAATTCGAATAAGGTCAATTGGCTGTGGAGTAACAATTTGATTCATTCCACAATGTGTGCATCAGGACGGCTATCCGTTCATTAAAGCATTGACCTCTCAAGCCAACCATACATTCGTTTGAGCCATTGGTTTTCGGTTATCCACTTAATGATCCCCTAACTAGTCATTTAATCAATCGCACGTCCGACAGCTCATAACACACCTTATTAAGTAAATGGTTGAACTAAAAAAACAGAACGATAAGTGTTCATCGAAGGCAACCAGCTTATCATTTATCCAGCTGCGCAACCAGTTAGACAATAATCCAGTCACTCAAGCCTTAATACATCAACGTACCAGTCCAGCGAACCAATCATCGAGCCGATCCCATTGATGCTACCAGCTGGCTGAGGATGCGCGTTGCCATTCATTCAATGAACCGTATAGACTATAAATTACGCATTCGGGAGTTGACCGCACAAGGAGCGCTCTTATCCCTCTGCCAGTTCAATCAACTGTCGAGACATGAGAGGAATTCAACGCCTTTCTCAAAGTATTTAAACGCATCTCCGGCCTACATAGGCATCCAATAACCAGTCATTTATTCATCCAACCGGTCAGCCTGTAGGCCACTTAGCCACAAATTCATCAACACAAGCATCCCACAAAAAAACCCTCATTTTTCCAGTCAAAAAAGCTCAGGAGCATTCGGAGGTAAGGTTACGCCTTAAAAGTGCAGACGGTGGGCGGACTGTAATAGCGGCGCGAGTATCACTGATATTCACCAGAAAGTCTTCAAAGCTTAAGAACACTCGCCTACATGCTCCATAGTATTTGTAGCCTCATACTAGAGAATGGGTGCGAAAAGCCTGTTTAATTGCTTTCAGCAGCCAAGAGGAGTCAAGACAGTAGCCATTGGTGGGTTAAATACCAGCCAAAAGGGGATGAGTAGACAACTATTAAACAATGGACTACTTGTTTTCCCATAATTTAGGCGCGAAATGGTTGAGTTGAACAGCTTCAGAACAAGTCTCCTTATCCTTTGAAGCGAAGTATGCAAGATTCGTAAAGGAGATAAAACTAAATCACACATTCTGCCTTTGCAGTGTGCGCAGCCTTTGATAGTTTGGTGTTAAAACCGAAATTAACATTTTTGAAAAGTGAATGGAAAAGGTATTCCACCACCAAACTCGGCACCCAGCCATTGTCTAGAAGAGGCTAAAAAACGTCTTGCCCAAAATGGGAGAAAAATGAATTGGTGTGAAGCTAGAGTTGGTAATCTTTGCAGGTGCCTCTTGCAAATTCCAAAAAACTACCACAGGCAGCGATAAATAGCAATCAATCCAGACACCGCAGTATTAGTAATGCAGCTTTCAATTCTTAGACCTTCTTATGACAAATGGGCTCACACTCACACTTCTTCAGGAGCATGTCGACAAAAAATCGACCACATAACTCACGCAGAGTTCCCCTGTTTCGCTTGTTCATTGAGAAATGCAATCAAATTCAGATCCAGTTCCACATTGAAGGTGTGCATCAGGTAGTCCGTGCAGAAGCCCAGACTAGCAGCTGTTGGTTTGGTACCTGCCATCATTCCCATCAACGACACTGAGGCCACCTTTTGTTCAGCTAGATCTTTCAATTGTCTAATCATGTTGTCTGGATCGGGAAGCTGACCCACCGTGCTGGTTGGAGTCGCGAACTGAACATCACGGAGTAGTAACACTGGTCGATAAAAGGGGGACTCGGAGTAGATGCCCAAGAGGTCGTGAGTACATAACTCCTCGTTGACTGCCTTCAAGATTGCAGTTTCTGCGTCAACTTTCCGGAGTTGAAGAAATTGCAGAGCCGAACAGGCAATGGGACTTTTTACGAGAGCTATAAGGGGACAAAAACATGGCGACTTGTGGGAAAATTAGACAAACAATGTGTTGACAAAAAACATACACATCGCAAAGAATGCGAATTCCTTAGCTGAAATGATCTGTCGAGGTTTAAATCGAGCTTCGCGAGACTTTGATTGGGAGGTTCGAATTCTCGGAGGTAAAGAAGCGCGCGGAACTGCTGTCAACACAAAGTTGTTGTAGGGAATGACTCCATCTGAATGTAACAACGGAAGCATTGCAATTATTTGAGTCAATAATACGCGCAAACGTTTTTACTTAACACATCCAACTGGAGCCTGAAATGTGAGCTTAAAATTCCGAATCTCAGGCATGATATACTTTCACCCCACAAAAGTATGGTAATAAGAATCCACCTGCCAAGGTGCGATAAACGTCAAAAATATGCTATATTTCCATAAATCACTAAAAGGTTGATAACTTGGGCTAAAATTTATTTGATAGCCAAAGATTGGCACCAAAATGCACAGTTAAGAAATGTGTAGCCCTGGCTAGAGGCAGATCGATTCAAATGAGGCAAAAATACAACAACAAATCCAAACACTTGCTACTAGCTACACTAAGGCGAATTCCTCCGAGTGCATAAGGCAGGTGAAAACGCTGAACGCATCAGGAAATGAATGGCACTCCTTTAAACTAAACCCATTCAGGCACTGGAACATCGATTACTGATAGTTCAGAGAAATCGTCGTGGGATTGAGGGTGGAAAAAGCACAACTACTTCGAGCACCAGAGTTGTATTGAACTGAAATAGCAACTAGAATTAGATCTAATACTAGAGCTACTTATAAAAATGAGTAGACGAAAAACTAAAAATAAAAATATCGATCAAAACGGCGAACAACAAAATGAACAGGTTGGGACGACGATACAACCGCAATCTTTACGACCGGGGTCAAGAACTATACATAAGTCCACATTCCAGCTTCTAAGAGTGACTGCCAAGGTGCAAACAACTGTGACCCAAAAAAGCTTCACAGCATCTAAAACTACCAAACAGGTAATTAATCGCTTTCAGACAAAAGTCGGTATTCACAATTCGATCACTTGCGAAACATTTTGAACCGTTTTCTTTCCGGTCGCCGGAAAATTTGAGGTGCCAGACAGATTACTCAAAACAGTGCCAGTGCTCCCAACAGGCCCAAAATCGATATGCCACCGAAAATCAATAAACCTTGGCCCCACAGTATTGGATACAGCAAGAAAGGGGGTCAAGTTTAGCGTGACCTTATTAGCCAATAATGACTAAGCGGAGTTCCGCCACAAGGACCACGAGTGGGGAGCACGTGCGCACTAGCCCGCGCATACACCAGGCTAAACTGTCACACCAGCCAATCAGAGACAAGGACCAATGAGAAAGCGAAAGTAAGGCGTGCGTGTGGTCGCGCCTATCATCGCGAGGAGGGTGCACGTACGTACGCACGAGAAAACGCGGTCGATCGATAAACGCACGCATTTGTCGCATCCGTATTAAGGGGGGAAGGGCGGAATGAATGCATCTACCCCTCGCCTCAGTGTCTTTGTTTTTTCCCTTATTTCCCATTCCCAAAGAAAGAGAGAATGGTAAATTAGTTGGCTGCAGGTAAGAGGTAGTAAGGCAGGGGTAGGGAGATAATTCTGTTGAGCTGGGGAGATCGCAATTAAAAACATAATTTGCTCCCCTTCCCCCAACCTACCAAAACCACGCGACAAGCGATCTCACAGCAGAATAAAATGCAAAGATTTGAGATTATGTGCTGCTTCCAAAGGGAAAAGTGCAGTAATCGAGAGGTTAAGATGTCCATTGGGGTTTATCTAGAAAGTGAGAACCCAATTCGCTTGAATCTCTAGTAAAGTAGAATCTTGCAACCCGGATGGAAGGGAATGACTATTTGTGTGGGAGGCCGACAATTCGAAAAAAGGAAAAGCCAAAGTACGTACGAGGGATTCGGGGTGGATTCATATTGGGGTTGGGAATAAATCCGGCTCGAGGAATCAACGGTGGTCTCCCAAGCGGAAAGGTACCATTACCCAGGAGACCAGGCTGGCCGAAGTTGTTCGGCTGCATATCTCGATTCATCGCAGTCTAATAAGTCTACTAGGAGAAAAGGATTCTTCTGGTATTTGTGCATTCAGCACAACATCAGTCAAACAATCCTTAGGAGTGGACTAAACACTGCATAACAAGAGAGACCAATTTGATGTTAGGGTGAAGCCACAAGTAAGAACGAGCTGTTCATATTAAATTGATATAAATTCAACATCTTCAAATTAGTGATTGTCAAACGCAAGTTACTCTTCTCAATAGATGAAATGTAGGGCTATAATGTACACTACTTAAGCAGAGATAGGCAAATAGTCTCACCCGATTTTGAAAAAACAACCCACCTGCAAATATACGATATGCTTTTTCAAGTTAATAATTTCTTATCCAATCAGTATGCGGCCTTTCGCACGAGCCAATAGAATCAGGGTAGGCTGGAACAGCATCATCATTATCTTTGCAAATAAAATTTGACCGCGTTTTTAAGCTTAAATTGCGAATATGAAGTAAAAAACCCTAAATTTTCTAATGAACTTTTTACTATTTTAACAGGCGATAATTTATGGAGAAAGTGATTTAATTAATGTTCAAATTGTAAGGGACAGTCT